CCAGCGCCCCGCCGCCGGGCCCCTGCCGCCCACGGGGCCGCGGCGCCGCGCGGGGCCCTGTGACGTCACCGCGTGCGCGCGTGACGTCGCAGCTCGCTCCAGCCGCAGCCGCGGGGACGGCCCTCCTCGGTGCCAAGCCAAGAGGCAGCTGTGTCGGGGTACAAGAGTATTTATTACGCCGTTACAAGAGGCAGCACCGTGAGCGCCGGGTTCTCCCGGGGAACCAGGACGTACATTCAGAGCGCCTGGCAGGGCGGGGGGCGGCGGGGTCCCCCCCGGGCCACCCGCTGCCCCCACTAGCGCCCGGCCCCCCGGGCGCGCGTGTCTGAGTGCTGAGGTTGCTGTGTGCTCCACCGGGCAGTGCTGGGGGAGCTCCCCGCTTCCTCCCGGCCCTTCCTCCTCCTCCTCCTGCTGCTGCTGCTGGCGGCCGTCAGGACGCGGCGCGGGGCCGCGCGGGGCCCCTCATTTCCTCGTGTGCAGCGTGTCCTGGAACTTGGTGCTGGTGTAGCGCAGGTGGAAGCCCTTCTTGTTGATGGTGTCATCCGAGTGGAAGCGGATCATCACTGAGTCGCCGGCCGAGTAGACCTCCTCGGGCGGCTGCGCGCGAGACGCGAGGCGCTCAGCGCGGTGGCCTCGGCCCCGGCACCCTCCGCATTTGCTATATTTGCTATGCTATATTTGCTATATTTGCTATATTTGCTATATTGGCACAAGCCGCCACCCCTCCTACAAGCTCCATGGGTGCTGGACCCCCTTGCTCGCACCCTCCCGCCTGCACCCAGCACCCGGGCGCGCTCGGCACCCCTATTGCACCCGCGGCACGCACCCCGGAGCCGCAGTAGCGGCCGAGGCGGGGGGCCGTGCCGTCGTAGCCGTCGAAGAGCTCCATGTAGTCGTAGCCGCAGTCGGCCTCCTCCTCGATCTCGAAGGTCTGGAAGATGAGCTCCACGCCGTAGCCCTCCTCAGCCATGATCACCCACTCGCAGTCGGCGCCGCCGGGGTAGTTGTTGTCGCCGAACTGCGCGTGCGAGTACAAGTCCTTGGTCTGCACCTCGGCGCGCACCTGGCCCCCGCACACTGCGCGACAAGAGCGGGGCGGTCAGCGGGGCCCGCGCGCGCCCGGCGCCGCCGCCCGCCCGCGCCTACCCGTGCCGTGCGCCGCCTCGAAGCCCTTCTTCTGCACCGAGCTGTCCGAGACGAACTTGAGGAAGAGCCGCTCGCCGGAGGAGAGCAGCGGCGCGGGCTCCTTGGCGCCGCAGAAGCGCCCGAGCGCCGGCGCCTGCGCGTCGGCCCCGTCAAACACCTCCAGGTGGTCGTAGGCGCATTCCTGCTGGGCCTCAATGTCCAGCACCGTGAAGCTCTGCGGGGACGCTGCGCGTCAGCGGGGCCACCGCTGCTGCCCGTGCCACCCGGCCCGGTGCCGCCGCTCCCCGCGCCGCCGCGCTCACCAGCCGCACGCGGTGGCCTGGCGTGGTGGCGATGGCCCACGTGCACTCCTTCTTGCTGGGGTACTTGTCGGGCCAGTTGGGGCTCGTGATGGTGCCCGAGATGGCGGTCACCTTGTGGTCGCAGCCGGCTGCGGGGAGAGGAGGCCGCTTGGCACAGGCGCGCGGGGCGGCGGGGCGCCGCGGCGGCCGCACGCACCTTCCTTGCAGTCGTGCCGGTTGTCGTGCAGCACGAAGCCGCTGCGGCACTGGCACGTGTAGCTGCCCAGGGAGTTGAGGCACTCGTGCTGGCAGCCGCCGTTGTTCTTGGAGCACTCGTCCTTGTCTAGGAGAGAGGGGACGCTGCGGTGAGCGGGCGGGCGCGCGCGCCCCGGCGCGGAGCACCCTCGGCGGGCAGGGAGCGCCAAGCAAGCGAGCGCCGGCGAGCGGAGGCGGGCGGCCTGGGGCCCCGGCGCTGCGGCCCGCGTGCCACAAACACACACAGCCACAACGACAGATGCACAACAGAGACCAGGACGCGGGAGTCCCCTCTTTACTCATCGACAGCAAATGTCACAGACACAATAAAAACCCGCAAACGAGGCCGGCTGCTCGAGGACACGTCTAAAATCAGGGGGGTGGGGAGGCGGCGGGATGGGGGGGTCAAAACCACCCCCCCAAAACATGGTTTTTTTTAAAAAAAAAGGCCAACAACCAGTTCTGTCAAGCAAGGGCCGGCAGGGCGGTGCGCGCGGCCGTGCTCCCGCGGCGCGGCCCGCGGCGCTGCTGAGTCCGAGCGCGCGCGCGGCGCCGCTCACGAGGGGCCGCGCGGCCGCTTCTGCAGGCGGAACTTCAGGCCAGGCGGGCGCGATTTCGGGGGCTGCAGCTGCTGCTTCTTCTCTGCAACGAGACACGGGGCAGGGGGGAGAGCGGGGAAGCGGCGCGTGAGCGGGTCGGCGGCGGCAGCGGCGGGACATGCACAGCGGCTAAGCCGGAGCGCTGGCAGGCAGCGGAGGAGGAGGAGGACGAGGAAGGCGCAGGGGAGCTTCAAGCTTTGCCGGCGCGGGCGGCTGGGGCAGCTGGCGCAGAGAGGCCGTGGAGCCCAGGAGGCCGCCCCGGTGGCTCCTACTTACCTGGGAGCTGCCATAACCTGCCTGAGGTCCCTATGTCCGTGCCCGGGTGTGCTGGGTCCTCTCTGGGCCGGGAGCGCGCGGGGCCGGGAGCGGGCAGGGCAGCGCCAGGAATGCTGCAGCGCTGGGAATGCTGCACAGCCGCCTGGCACCCAGCGCTCAGCACCTCCCGTGTCCTGGGCGGCGCAGGGAAGCGAGCGGGAAGCGAGCGCCAGCACCCAGCCACTCTGCAGGCCACGCTCGCCCCTTCACTGCCCCTTGGCACCAGGCGGGACGCCCCAGCCCCAGCTCTCAGCGCCTCCTCCTCACACGAGGCCGGAGGCGGCTGGCTCCGGGGTGCGCGGGAGGTGGCAGGGCCCCTGTGGGACGGGAAGGGGCTCCTGGGCGCCGGGCGGGACGAGCGCGGCTCCGGCCAAGGGGGCGCAAGCGCGGCCGGCGCCGCACGAAGGGCCGCGGGAGCCTGGCGGGCGACACAAGAGCGACAGCGTTGCCGGGGGAAGGAAGCCCGGGGGCACGGTGCCTGCAGCGCCCCTGCGTTGCGCCCGCGCTCTCCTCCCGCGGCACGCGGGGCTGCGGGCGCGCGCCGGCCCCGGAGCTGCGTGTGCGCCGTGCCGGGCCCGCCTGCCTCCCCGCAAGCGCACACGGACACCCCGGAGCAGAACCCCCAGGCGGGAAGCAGCAGGGACGTACCTGGTGCGGGCACCGCCGCGGGCTCCCGCGCCGACGCCTCCTCGCGCGCTCGCCAGGCGGGACAGGCGGCTACCGCCACGCGGCCCCATGCCGCCCTCCCGCTCAGCGCCTCGGGGAGCACGAGGAGCAGGGCAATCCCGGCTTTGCTTTGGGATCTGCACCCGAGCAGCATCGGTGCCCGCCGGGATCCCAGCGCCATCTCAATGCAAAGCGCTTGGCAAGTGCCCAGCGGCGCTGAGACCCTCCGTGTCCTGAAAGGAGCCACACGCAGACGCTTGCCCGGGCACCGCTAGCCATGGGCCAGCACCCGGAGCACAGGGAGCCTCGGGCCCGGCTGCATCCTCGGGTGCGGTGCAGCCACCGGGAGAGCCCGGAGACCTGCGTGGAGAAGGAGAGTGCTCAGGGGCGGCGGGACGTCCCCGCGGAGCGGGGCATGAGGGAGGTCCCGCGCAGACACTCACCTGCCGCCCGCGGTGCCGCTCGGCCGCCCGGCTGTGCCGGTGGCTCCTGGCCACGCTGGTGTCTCCTGCGCCGGCCGCGCTACCTGCCTTGCCTTGGGGTTCGTTAGGAATAAGGCAGGGGCTCTGCCCCCCGGCCTGGCAGCACAGCCTTGGCATGGCCCGACGGCGCCAGAGAACACCCCGAGGGCACGTGGGGACATAGCGCCGGTGACTGTCCCAGTGTCCCAGCTGCTTCAAAGGGCTGCAGCAGGGGCAAAAGCCCCCGTGGGAGGCGCTGGGCTGCTCTGCAGCCCAGCCGGGCTCAGCGATGCCAGAGACGCCCGGTGCACGAGGCAGCGGCCGCCGCGCACGCTGACACCGCGCGCGGCCGGAGGCGCGTCCTGCTGGCGGTGCCTGTCCCCCCCCAGCAATGCCCAGGTGCAAGGAGAGCCGTTCTCCCCGCGGGGCGCGACATGGAGCAGGCGGCAGCAGCAGCCCCGTCGCAGCGGGTGCAGCCGCCAAGGCGAGCGCGTGCGCAAGCGTGCGGGCAGAGCGTGCAGCGCAGCGGGCAGCGCAGCGGGCAGCGGCGCAGGGACGGCGCGAGCTCCCGCGCTCCTCGCGGCCGTGCCGGACCCCTCTGCACCCAGGAGGACGGGGAGCACCCGGAGAGGCCGCGCGGGAGCTGGGCCGACACCTGGCCGGGCGGGCCGGTGGGGCAGCTACCTGAGAAGAAGTGCGCTTTGAAGCCCTTCTTGGAGACGGTGTTGTCCGACTTGAACTCGATGCGCATGTTGTTGTACTGCGAGGTGATGACATCGGGCTTCTCGGCGCCGCAGAACTTGCCGTGCAGCTTGGAGTCGGCCGTGAGGCCGCTGCGCACCTCCACAAAGTCGTACTTGCACACCTGCGGCACGGGGCGAGGGGCTGTGGACGGGGCGCTCCACGGCACGGCACCCTGCCGGCACCACCGCCGCCGTCCCGGCCACTCACGTCGTTGCCCTCGGTCTCAAAGAAGTCGAACTGCAGGGAGATGCGGTACTGCGTGGGCGCCACGAGCTGCCAGATGCAGTTCTTGTTGGGCGGGTACTCCTTGGGCCAGCCGGGGCTGGTGATGGAGCCGTTGAGCTTGGTGAGGAAGCCTCCGCAGGCGGCTGCGGGCACAGGGCGCCGTGAGCGTGGCCGCGGGGCGCGCGTGCCCGCCCGCTGCCCGGCGCCGCTCACCCTCGCAGCGGCGCTTGTCGGAGGCGAGCTCGTAGCCCGGCTCGCAGGCGCACTTGTAGCTGCCCAGCGTGTTGACGCAGCGCTGCTCGCAGCCGCCGTTGTTGGCCCGCGAGCACTCGTCGACCTCTGCGCGCGGCAGCAAGAGCGCTCAGTGTGCGCTGCCGCCTGGCACCGCTGGTGCCGCCCGCGTGCGGCGCCGCGCCACGCAGCCGGTACCTTTGAAGAAGTTGACGGCAAAGCCGGCTTTGTTGATGGAGCCATCGGAGACGAACTTCATCCAGAGCTTGTTGGAGGTGCTCTTGATGTCGTCGGGCTTGTCATAGCCGCAGTAGCGGCCGATGAGGCTGCTGGCCTCGCTGCTGCCGTCGCGGATCTCCAGGTAGTCGTAGGCGCAGCTGTCGTGGCGCTCGATCTGCGCGGGCGCCGCGGCCTCAGCGGGGACGCCGGCCCCGCCGCCCGCTCCCGCGCGCTCCTGGCGCCCTCACCTCGAAGGACTGGAAGGTGAGGCCCACGTGGAAGCCCTCGGAGACGGTGATCTTCCAGACGCACACCTTGCTGGGCCGGTAGTCGTCGGGGTAGTTGGGGGACTGGATGTGCCCGTTGTCCTTCCGCACATCCCCGCCGCAGATGGCTGTGGGTGGTGACAGCCAGCGGCTCGAGCGGCGACGCTCCGGGGACACCGGTGCCGTCCCCGTGTCCCCTCTGTCTGCACTGTCCCCTCCCCAGCCCTCGGGGCCCCAGTACCTTCGTAGACGGCGAAGAAGCCTTTGCCCACCCAGTTGCTGCTGCTGCGGAACTCGACCCAGAGGCGGCTGTCGGTGGAGATGATGGGCTCGGGCAGCTTGTTCCCGCAGAACCTGCCTGCGGAGCGAGGCGCGCTCGGCTGCCACGGGGCCCCGCGCCATGGGCACCCCGCGCGCCCCCCCACCGCCCCCGTGCCCCCCTGCTCCGGCTCTTCCCACCGCACGGGCCCCGGGCGCTCCAGGGGGGCCGCACAGAGCGCGCGGGAGCCGCCGCGGCGTGGGCAGGAGAGCCGGCCCCGCGGGGCGGCCTCACGTCCCCGAGCAAGGGCTGGTGGCCACGCAGCGGGCAGGGGAGCGGGACGCGGGGCACGGGGCGGGCAGGGCGCGCGGGGCCGCAGGGGCAGGGCCGGGGTGCAGCGGGGCACCCCGGCCGGCGCGGCGAGCCCGGGTGGTTACCTCGCAGCGTGGCCTTTCTCCAGAACCCGTCTCTCACCTCCACGTAGTCGTACCAGCACAGCCGGCTTCGGTAGAGGTCCAGGCTGGTGAAGTTCAGGATGATCTGGGGGGCAGCGGGTCAGGAGGCCCCCAGAGCCCCGCGGTCCCGGGGCTGTGGGATCCCGCTCCTCGGCCGTGGGGCCATGCAGGGCCAGGGACGCCAGGAAGACAGGGCGAGCCGGGGCGCCGGGAGCCGGGGCGCCGGTACCTTCTCGCCGGGGGTCACGGAGATCCTCCAGACGCAGTGCATGTGCGCGGAGTAGCCGTTGGGGAACTCGGGGGACGAGAAGTTGCCCTGGCTGTCCTGGAGCGTCTCGCCGCAGGCTGCGGGGACAGCGGCCGCCACGCTCAGCCCCGGCCGCGCTCCCGCGCACGCTCCCCACGCTTGGCCCAGCGCCGCGGCCACAGGGCCACCCCGGCCCCGCCACCGGCAGCCAGCGCCTTGCCCCAGCCCGGGGCCAAGCTGCTGCTCCCGCGCGCCGGTGCTTATCCCGGGGGTGCCACTCACCCGGGCAGCGGTAGAGCTTGCGGGCCTGGGCGATGTCCCCCTTGCTCAGGCGCGTGCGCTGGCCGATGGGCGGCCGCACCCCGTTCACGTCATACTTGGGCAGGATGGTGTCCAGGAAAATGCCCCTGGGCGCGGAGCAGCGGGAGGCTGAGCGGGGACCCGGGCACAGCCCCGTGCCCCACGGCTTCTCCTCGCCGCCGGCATGCGCCCGGCCAAATCGGTTATCCCGCCACGTGCCCAGCACATCCCGAGGGATTCGTGCTCCGTACCTGGAGAAGGTGTTCCTGGCGTAGTGCATGATGCTGTCGAAATCGTACGTCTCGCCCAGCGATTCCACCTCCTCCGGCTCCATCTTCAGGAAGTTGTACTCCTGCCCTGCGGAGCGGGCACGGGGCCACGGTGAGGGGCGCCGGAGGCAGCGCTCACCGCGCGGGGCACAGCGCCCGGGGCGCTACCTGGCTGGATGTTCTCGCGGATGATGGAGACGTGGTCGTCCCGGTCGGGGCGTGTGTGCTCGTGCCAGAAGCCGATGACGTGGCCCAGCTCGTGCACCACGATGCCAAACTTGTCGCAGTTTTTGCCGATGGAGATGGCCTGCGGGCCCCCTCCGCGGCGACCCACGTAGGAACAGCACCTGCAGGGGCAGAGCACGGGGCACCGTTTTGCCCCGGCACCAGGGAATTCCCGGCCTGGGCGCAGGCACTGGCGTGACTCAGGCCGCGCGCTTCCCGCTCGGAGGCGAGCATCTGGAAAGCATTCCTGCAGCCTCAGCTCGCTGGAAACCTGAGCCCACATGCCTCGATGAGGCCGAGCCTCCAGCCGAGGCTCTGCCTGGGAACTGGGACAGCTCAGACAGCGCATGCGGAGCCGGTCCTGTAGCGCAGAGCCGGTCCTGCAGAGTGTCCAGTCCCTGCACCACGACTGGGTCCCTGCACCACGGAGCCAGTCCTGCACCGTGCCCGGTCCCTGCACCACGACTGGGTCCCTGCACCACGGAGCCAGTCCTGCACCGTGCCTGGGTCCCTACCCTGCATTGGGTGCAACCTTGCTGCCGTATTCCCAGCTCTGTGTGGCTGCTCCGCTCCCAGGGAGGGCTCCCATGGAGCACCCTGCACCTGTGTTTCTCCGCAGGTCCCTTCCAAGCCCCCGTTGCCCTCGGCAGGACGTGCACGAGCCTGCACTGTGGCCCTCGGTCCCTTCCCAGCTCCCGCCTGCAATCCATGCACTTCCCTATGGCACCAGACACCTCACACCACCACCAGCATGCAAACCAACATCCCTACCCGCCAGCACAAGCTGCAACGTGGGCATTTCAGTGCCAAGGCCCATCGGCGGGGCCCTAATTGGCCCTAATTAGCAGTCCTGCAAGCCACAGGGCTGCCTAATTGCAGCTGCGCCAGCGCAAGGCGCCGGCTTTGGCCACGGCGGCCCCGCTCACCCGCAGGGCCGGTACGTGAAGATGATGTAGCTGTCCTCGTCGTTGCGCTCCAGGAAGGTGACGCACGTGTGCTTCTCCCAGTGGCGCATGGCCTGCCGGAAGATGGCTCGCTGGCTGCCTGCGGGGCGCGCGGGGACGTCAGCGGGCGCGGGGACGCCGGGGCCCGCCCGCCCGCGCCGCGC